CCCCCCAGGGGGATGGACAACAGAAAAATGGGTGAAGGGAGACAGCGGTCCCTATAAGACATGGGAAAAAAAATTTATAAATCAAGGATTCACGGGGGAGAGATGTTAGGGGAGGGAGGATTAAAAAAATGAGCTGATACCAAGGACACAACGAATACATGTATGGATTGTGATAAGAGCTGTAAGAGCCCTCAATAAAATAAATCTTTAAAAACATCGCCTCTGCATATTTCCACGGCTGTAAATCTTCAAAAGAACAGAAGTAGCTAGGGGATTCCAGTATGCAGTCTACTCCGCCATGCCACAGTGAGGACTCTGGGATAGAAGCCCACTGGTCCCAACAGGGCTTTCTTGTATTAACGAGAGCATCTCAGTGCAGGGTGTGTTTTAAGCCAATCACCTCTGGGATACAAGCACAGAGACCCCTAAGGAAATGGGGGAGATAGATGCCATGCCTCATCAAGTTCAACAAGGAATTTAGTAACAGATGCTGAAAAGAGACTCAGGGTCTCCTAGACCCAATGCCCGGAATTTGAAAGTCTTGCTTCTTAATCTGTGAGAAAATACATTTCTGTTTGTTAAAGCCACTCCCTGTAATGTCCCCAGGATACATGTTCTTTTTTCTTTTTTTAATCATTTTATTAGAGGCTAATACAACTCTTATCACAATCCATCCATACATCAATTGTGTAAAGCGCATTTGTACATTCATTGCCCTCATCATTCTCAAAACATTTCCTAATTCAGCCCTTCTTCTGTGCTTTCGATGATCAAAGTCAGGTGTTGTTTGGTATTTTACTTCACAAGTTAGCCAAACTCTTCTTACAAGAAATTACTTTATTTCAAGCCTACATCTCACTTGATGTTCCTCATATTTTTACTTAAGTATATACTTTGTATTTACATAGGCTCATGCATCTTCCCATAGTCAGATGAAAGCTCTATATTTTCCTAAGTTGTTAAGGGGGCTGTGTATATTTTTGCCAAAATAAAAAAAATAATAATTATACTAATAGCAATGAGTCTAAGGAAGAAGCAAATGTTCTAAAGTTGATTGTGGTAATGATTGCACAATTCCTCTTGATATGATTGAACTATTGAATTGTGTGAAATGTGAA